CTTCAGTCCATAGATTAGGCGGGGTGGAAAGACATGTGTTATTTTAGTGTTTGGTTTCTTTCGTCACGCTCGCTGATTCAAGACTGGCAGGAAAAAGCACCAACGTAGAAAACCATATTCAAGGCAGACAGCATCCAAAGCAACAGAAACCATAGATTCAAAGTGTCAACTGACGACCCTTGGCATGACCGGTAGCACTTGAGAATTCCTCGGTGCAGGACGTGAGGGTGAAGGTACTAAAAGCGATGGTAGTTCATGGCCTGCCTTTGTAACAGCAGCTTTTGGGGGAAAGGGAGAAGCAACACACTTGTAAGAACTTTTGACCATGCCTTTTTAATCAGTGGTCTCATCAGGATCTCTATATCATCATATATACAGATATATGTATATCTGGTTGGTGGTTTGGAACATTTTTTATTTTCCCATATATTGGGAATAGTAACCCCAACTGACGAATATTTTTCAGAGGGGTTGAAACCACCAACCAGATATGTATATGAGTGTAAATACAATTCCATGATACGATCGAACAATTGGAATCTACGGTGAAGGGCCGACATACAGACGCAAGCAGTGCGTCCCATGCAGAGTCAGATTGTTTTCGGATTGTTTTCGTCCACTCGACCAGAAGGGTATTATTCACACCTAATTGCAGACCACCAGTAACAAAATGTAATCACGGTATGCGTTATCAGATCTTGTCTTCTCAGCTGTTGATCTTGTCATTCTCATTTCTTCACCAGCAGCACCAGCAGCACCACCACCACCAGCACCAGCATTGTCATCACCACCATCATCACCATTATCAGTATCACCACTATCACCATGATCACCACCAACACTAACACTAGGATCACCATCATGACCACTATCAGCAATGATTTGAATCTGCATCCTGCTTCAACCGATCCTTAATCCGAATTTCCCTTTCTTCATTCCGCATTTAGCAATCTTGATTGATAGATTCAGATGAAATTTGAACGTATTGCAACATCTCCGTGAAATAGGGCCAATGTTTTCTTTGTTTCTAAGTTATATCCCATAGTTCTTCACCCCTCAGATCAGGATACAGGAGAGAAATGATACACCATGATATAACTTAGAACCATGTTCCATTGTTTCAAACTTCCCATACGTTTCTCTAAGGTAAGTTTCTATATGTTTCTACAATTTAGAAACACATCCTATATTATATCCCATCAGTTTCTATATGTTCTCTTGGATCAGGACATGGCAGAGTCAGATGCGCCGGCGGCGCCCGCCGAGCCCGCCGCCGAAGACCCCGCCGCGGACGCGGCACCGGCGGCCGCACCGGAGCTGCCAGCGGAGGCGGTGGCGCAGGCAGGGGGATATCTACGGGATATGAAGAATGAATGAACATGGCATACACACACACACGCATATATATATAATTATATGATAATATATATATAATTATATAATATAATATATATAATTATATAATATATAATATATATATAATTATATAATATATAATATATATAATTATATAATATATAATATATATAATTATATAATATATAATATATATAATTATATAATATATAATATATATAATTATATAATATAATATATATAATTATATAATATCATAATATATATAATATAATATATATAATATATATATAATATAACAATATATATATTATTATATTATATATATAATTTAATTGTATATATGTACACACACTGTGTACATACATATAACCATATGTATATAGAATTATACATATGTTTATTTCCAGAAAGCAACATTATGAACCAACATGTTTTTTTGTTCTTATCATCAAGCAGCGGGGTTTTTCATCACGACTGGGCGACGAGTTCATCCACTATGGAGGGACACAACAGTCGTATGCGCTTGACGCTCCAGGCATGACATTTGGTGCCGGGATGACTATTCAATACTATGAATGTAAACTGGGTAAATTATAACGACCTCACTGCGAACTCACTGGAAATCATAGTTAGTAAGGGAAATCATCCCCAAATGGCCTTAATTCAGGTTAGTGAAATATTATAATTTACCCAGATGCAAACATTTGTCATCCCAGGCAGCGAATAGTATTGTAGTAAGCATCAAACCTGGATGACTACGGTACTGTTCATTCCTGAAACTCAAACCTAGACGGTTTGGTACCACCAATGACGAGTTGTACAGGTCCATTCACACTACTGGGACCACGGGTCCCACCAACCAAATATGGATGCATAGTCAACACAAATGAGAACACCAACCTGGTTGATAAGTAGTTTGTAGTGGTCAAAATTTGGTACCGTACCCTAGTGAAGAACAGCAAGTGAACGGATTAAACGGGATGATAATTTTGGCTGTTCATCTGCCCTATTCACTTCAAGTAGTCTAGTTTTTGACTCATCCTGGGTCGATAGATACCGCCGCGGGCTGTTGTTAGTCTAAGACTTCCAATAGGCTCCCGAGCACTTGGCTTGCTCCTCGAAAGCTTACCCGGTATACCCCAAACCCAACCAAAATATCTGAGGATTACCCTCTGGTAAATAAACATAGACCCTGAAAATCACCAATTTTTAATGGAAACTAGTCTTCCAATCCCTATCTGCCAGGGTCTATGTTAATTTACCAGGGGGTATGTTCCATCTATTTTGTAACGGCCACTTCAGCCGCGGAACGATCTCGGTTGGGTGTGATACTCTCAGGCAGCGGGAGATTCGGCCGCAGAGGAGCGGAAGTTGGGTAAGACAAAAGGTCAAACCACCAACGTCCCTTCTTTATGGCAATCATTTATCATCATTTATCTACAAAAAGGGTTCACCAAGCCTGATGGTCACAGAGGATCCAATTTGGACTTACCACGAAGAATAGAGATTTAGCCCGCAAAGAATGGAAGAAAATGAAGTAGGGAATCTGGGAATTTTATTGACTGAAATAGATCATGAACCTTTTTTTTTTTGATTCCAATTTCCCCCCGCTGCGTCCTATTTCCTTGGAGCCTGGCCTTGTGGAGCTTGACGTGGATCTTTATGCCCAGCGGGCCGAGCTGATGGGAATCACACTTTGGGAAAGATCCAATATGTTCGCTCTCTTCAGAATCATCACTTTAATCCCTGGAAGTGGATGGCGTATCGAGTTCCTCAAACAGGTTTTTTCAAGTGACTCCCAACCAAACTCTCATGACGAAGACAATTTTCTATTTTTCTTGGGACAGAAACGTCATATTTTCAGCCACAGGGTGGAGAGGCTTCTCCTGCTTCGCCCACAGAAACAGAAGGCTCCACTCAACGGCGAGAGAAGTGGAATGGCTTCAGCTGATGTTTTGTTTACCCTCAGTAAACTACCATAGCTATGGAACATCACCATTTTAGACAGGTAAATCAACTATAACTAAATAAAATGGTGTGATTTTCCATAGCTATGTTAGTTTATCAGAGGGTAGGACTTCTTTGTTTTTCACAATGCTATCTCCTGTGGCTTGAACTATTGAACCCCCCATCACTGTGTTTAGGCAGATACCCGTAATGGATCGTAATGAGGTTTTTGTTCCAATCAAGCGACCCAGCACTCAAGCTATGGCATAAGTAATGAGAAAAGAGTATTTCTTGGTGTGGCGAACTGTGGCGAATTCTACTGACCGACCTGTGTTCGAGTTCGAGCTGTTTCTTCCATTCGGTTTGATATTTTCCTTTTTCCTCATCTTTGGATGTTGTGGCCAGCAGAATTCCATGAATCTGTTGGAATCGAATATGGGCAGCACAATACCCGCAACAAAATCCTGAAGTTCAAGATTAGCCACCCCGGTCGCCTGCCAGCTGATGATAGCCCTACCGAGAAGGCGGTGGTTGGATGATGCATCTGGGACAACCAGCCAAAAGACTTTTCTAATGGGAATCCTGGGATGTTTTTTGTGGAAACATGTGGAAACTATCCAAAACTTTGGATTCAATCAAGAAGCATGGGGATTTCCTGGGAATGACAGGAGCACTTGTTTCATGGAATTGTTTTTCCTATCAAAAGCTATTTCTTCCATGGAATTCAATATTTTGATGGCTGGCTGGGAGTTCAGCTTCCAAGTTCTGTGCTTTGGAGCCCAAATGGCTCGCTCCTCAACGCATGGTTCTCAGCTGAATGCTACAGCAAGGTGCCACTGCAAGTGGTTCAATCCCACGGCTGGAATTATGCAAATATAATCATATTATATATAAATAAATATATATATATACACGTATATATACATTATGTTGATGGTCACTACTATTGTGTTTGTGGCAATGTAAGAGCCCTATACTATTTTATGTTCTTTGTTTAATTGAGATATTTTGATATATCTATATATGGGATTTGCAGAAGTGGCAGGAGTTCCTGCTATAGCCAGCACCACATGTAGCGGCCTGTGGATCAGGTGGTCAGGAGGGCTCCTCCAATGACGAGGTGCAGCAGGGCGCAGAAACCATGGTGGATGTAGGGGATGAACACATTTATGACTAGGACCATACAGTGGGGCCTCTTGAAGGTAGGAGTAAAATTGGTGAAATTTGTGACTGTGTCAATTGTCGACTCCATGTTTTCTTAGGATTTTGAAGCAAGTGTTTCCTTCCATAATCCCAAGTGACGAGCATATTTTTTCGGGGGGTTGAAACAATCAGCCAACAACATGTTGGCATAACATACGACGATTTACCCTCTGGTAATCAAACATTGAAGTTGAAAATCCTCTATAAATGATGTTTTGATGGGAACATCGCTTATGACATTGGAGGATTTTCCATTCCCATGTTTGATTCCCAGAGAGTATCCATTGATTTACCAGGATTTACTTTTTTTTTATATCCATAGTTATATCCATAGTTATATCATCCATTAATAAACCATTATATTATGTCCATTAATATCCACTATATGGATAATATCCATTATTTACCAGGATCATTGGAGGATTTACCATTGATTACCCAGGATTTATACCATTGATCCTACCATCGAAGGCCTTGGATCAGCATTGCAGGCAAGCCTCCAAGGAGATCATCGAAGGAATCCGCAGGAAGCGCAGCTCTTCGTGCGGGCGCTTGGACACCGCCAAGTCCGGCAGGGTGGCCACAGGTGGTGTCCGACAAGATCAGACCATGAGGGGCTTATTATAGGGATATCCTGGTATCCTATTATATATATATACACAATAATATATATATATATATACATAATATTATAATATATATATATATAGTAATATAACATACTGCATAACATATATATATATATATTATGATAATAAAAGATATTATATAATAAAATATCCTAACACCTCAGAAATGCGATAAACGCCAACAACTGGTGGGTGACCTACACATATTTAAGTTATTTTCGATCCTACCTTTGATGATACGCATGGACCAATATTGGACCCATGGGGATCACATGGGATCAATGTTGTGAGGAGAGCAGAAGCAACATGGGGGTTTTTATCACTATGGTTTTTAAATGGTATGACATCAGCCAGTGCGGATTTGGAAAAATCCCTATGATTTTGCAAATGTGGGACGTTAAATAGTCTGAATTCATCCACAACTATCAACTTTTTTGCTGTGGAAACCAGGGTTTTTCGGTAACAGGGTGAATTTGTGATGATCTTTTCTAATCCCGATGATTGCGCTTGGCCTGATCAATTTTCTGGCAGTTCAATCGGACCATGAAGGGGAGCATTTGGGGGCATGAAGTGGCCATTTCAGGCGCTCCTGAAATTAGAACGGGGAAAAATGGAGGCATCATTTTTCCACGCTTGTTTTTTCTATTAAATAGTTTGTGTTTGTTTATACTCATGCTCTTTTGTTTTCTCTAGTCTCTAGTTTTTCCATGTTTCCTTTTTTTTTGCACGTCCTTTTTTTAAAGAAGGGAACGCGTTTTTCTTTTGCAATACATCTTCAACCACACTTCTTGAAAAGAAAAGGACACTTACTTTTGCCACTACTCATTTCGAAAAGAAACGCGAAAGTCATTAGACAGATGTGTTGGCTTAAGCTGCTTGCAACGTGTTTGAGATTCTATGAAGTTCTATGCATTCATGTTTCCACGATATTCAGGAACTTATGTAGAGATCCATAGATTTTCCACGATATTCAAACATTATGGGAACAGAAACCGCGGTAAACTGTGGCTCCATTGACCCCTGCCTGAAATCTGAGGATTTGCGAGTCCCAACCGGGGGACGACACGCAGGAGAAACTGGATGCGGAAGAAGCCAAGTTTTGGCCTCAGATGGTTTGGCCTCAGATGGCAAGTCCGTCTCAGCAATGCCCAGGTGACCCAAATATTGCATGCGTAAATAGAAATGGGTGCATACTGGGTATACCAAGTGGTTTTTCTTGGGATTTCGGAATTTCGGATGACAGTAATCCAATATGTATGGCTATGTGACACTTGAATTGTTGTGCAGGCCTTGATTTCCTCCAGCATCTCAGGTGGCGGATACCTGCAGGTTTCTTCTATGATCCCAGTAGTCCGGATTTGTGCCCCACCCTGGAGGAGTGGTCCAGGGTGCGTGCGGTCCAGGGTGACGGTATCTTCCACAGAATTTGAAACCAGTGGAACCTGCATTTTCTATTATTATATATAATATATATATATATATTATATATATTATAATATATATATATTATACATATTTTCGTTTAGCAAAGCTCGGATCTTGCATTGCTTAGATTTAAAAGCCACTTTGCCCAAAGGTGTTCGCATCCTGGATCTCTAAAATTGCTATGCCTTGTCGCGCCATCGGGATCTGACCACCGCCTGCCGAACTGCTCTAAGCGGCACGGCATGACCTTGTACCACGGGACACATCGAGACAACGTGCAGAAGATCTTGAGTGAGGGGCTTAACGAAAGTCAACATGGAAATCTGGGCAAAGGTGTCTACTTTGTGTATGGCTATGAGATCGCCAAGGCAATTGCGCAGAAGCAGAACCGAGCCTGGGGTGTTATTGAAGCCCGGGTGGACTTGTTTCGGCGCCATGGTCCATGGGCCAATGTGTGGGAGAACTTGCTTTTGATGGCCGGCCTCATGATTACAGCAGCAACCCTATACAAAACTCGTGGGAACAAGAGCCAGACCCTGAAAGCTTTCTTCACCCGCATTCAGACATGAGGAGAATGCAGTGGAATGGCCTACGACATATGAGGACCTGGTCTTTCTGAGGTTTTTTTGAACAGGCTTTGTATTGCCTCAAGTACTGTGAAGCTAGTACGTCCACCTCTGAGAAAAGCTGCGAGCGTCACTGCCGAGTACTCGGGAAGCAAGTGACCGGGACAAGTTCACGATATGGATGATGTAGCCACCAATCTCATGATGCAGTCGAAACATGTCTCAACATGTCTCAACATGTTTCGACCCGGTAGCCTTTTATTGTAGTCAACTGCATCGGAAGGGATTCAACCTATTTGGGCAGCATGACACAATATGTATAGTCACCGTGGTTGATTTGGTGCTCGAATCCCCAACAGTCGCTTTTATCCTCATTCTTATTAGCTACATCCCACCCCAGAATGTTCAATGGCCATTCGAGGATGCTAAATTGGAGGTACCTACCATATATAAGGCCTATATAAGGCCTATATAAGGCCTATGTAAGTGAATATCCCCACAAAATATGGCCTTATATGGTACAGTACCTCCATTTTAGGATCCTGGAATTCCCAATGAAATGTTGTTCTAAAAGTATCTAAAAGTCCTCATTCTGCAAATTTGCTTCAAATCCCTTGTTGATTGGCAGTGATGTCCCCATGATTTGTTGATCAGTTGGTCACATGATCCCACATGCCAGGAGCGGGAGCTTCCACGGAGTGCCACTAAGGCCTCGCGCTTCATGGGTGCCTTGGTGCTATGTGCGGTTCGATCTTAGTTGGGGATGTGGCAACACGAATTACTTGTTTGTAACGCCATGTAACGCCTGGATTTTTAAAGCTGCGTATGCATCCATACAGTCAGCAAACATCGATAGATTGGATAGGTATGGATAGGTATGGAGTGTCTAATTACTTTGAGTTGTTTGGTATTTTCAGCCTAGCTGTCTCAAAGTCAAAGTATCTCACCCAAAAGTTGCCAAACTGCTAGATGTGAAGGACATTTGATTTGTGGCCAACTATTTCATTCATTGTGTGTTTGGTACTAGTTAGTCCTACAAACAATCAAGCAAGTTTGGGAGTACTGAGTAACTACCTGAGTCCCATTTGCACAGTTATGACGTGCTCTAGATATGTTTAACGAGCAAACAATGACTATGTGACGATGTGTGCAGGCCAACGAGAAAGCTGGACAGTGATCCAAGTATCGCACAGTATGAGATAAATCCCATCTATATCATCGTGGAAACACTTCTCTATTTTTTTGGGGGGGTTATAGTTTTATTATGTTTTTTATTATTATTATATTAAACAAGACCAGAGGACACATGGACCAGCATCGAAACTTGCCCACACAAGTTGGCTTTCTATTTGCCATGTTTGCATCTGGGACCCATGACATGCCATGACGTGCTATCAAGGCTATGATTTTAGTCGAGTGAACAACGCGGTGTGGACCTCGAATGAGGATCGGTGCTGTTCGGAGTTGTGGTGGGCGCTAATATCAAAATTATTTAGAATGACAGAAGTAGTGAATTGGATTGAATTGGCATAAAGTGGCCTACTGTTTGGTAGTGTTGATTTGTTTCAGATGCAGTCACCAAATTTTCAAGTTCTAGGCGCTCCCAAGTGTGACAAACATGGTCCTTTTCGCCCAAAGGATCACCAGACACTCATGACTCATGACTCATGACGATGTAAATGAGGTGTTCCTGCAAGAAATTTCAGTGATAACATGTTATCACAATTAACTATTGTGTTGGGTACTGGAAACATGTGGAAGAATTTGTATGTGTTTTTTCACCCAAGTAGGCCAGATGCAAGGATTATTCATGAAACTTGAAGGAAAAACAGTGAAAATCACGGTTAAATCTGTCACCATGTCACTACGTGCGGGGAAGCAGCAATGTCTTCGCAGAATTGCATGCTGCAGGAGTTTGCCTACATTACCGGCCACGTGGTTTGCTTCATGAACATCCGCCACTGGGCATTTGAAGTTCAGACATGTTCAAACCATTTAGGGCTTTGGAACATGCTACTGTAGCTTTGCACAATTCTTTCATCCTTAGTACAGTTGGCCTGAAATGGTTCATTACTTCAGTATATAGTACAGTAATTAGTAATTAATGTTTGTTTGGATTCCTGGCAAATCAAATTTGGTCGTGTTTTAATATTGTTTTATGATAATTACATTGAACACATAACTGTCGTGGTGACAACATTTTATGTTGTCAATGATAATTTCTTGACTTTGTTTAATGTTTATGATAATTATCATTGAACTGTTTATAGTGTTTTAATATTGTTCAATGATAATTTCTTGACTTTGACTTCTATGTATTCACCCATGTTTTTGTCGTCAACAAGACATGGCACAACTCACGTCATCGCCCAGAAACACGACAGCGGCGTTTCCTTCACGGCAGAGATAATGGCGGAATTGGAGCCATTGCTGTGGCTTGCTTGCGATCGACTGAGGGCGTTGCAAAGGATGTGGGATGGATCAGGAATGGCTGGCCAATCTTTTCTCCCCATTGGCCGGAAGCTGGTCTTATATTGTTATAAACATGTTATAGAGGTAAAGTGAGAAGTACCATCCCCAACTAACATAGACCCTGAGAACAGCTTACTTTGAGGAAAGTGATCTTGAAGCCTCCTTTCTGGTAGAGTCTATGTTAGCTGGAGGGTACTGTATGTTAGTTGGGGGGACTCATCAGCAGGTGATTAGAATATCAGCAGTTGTGGTTGAGATAGCTTCCATGCCTGAATTGCATCCAGATGGAGGGCGGTTGATTTATTTATTGGTTTATGTATCCAAAACATGCCAAATCCTTTCGAAACTGTTTTGCATATGTTCGTCGACTTCACTCTTGTCAGTTTGAACAAGTATTTGTTCTTGGATATTTAGGTTGTTTCGCGAGGGAAAATGAACTATCCGAGTTCTGCATTTCAGATGTTTGCCATTGTTTGCCAATTTTTTGAACTCATTCTAGTTTATTCGGATTCCTATCAGGAAATCCCTTTGGAATGAATGGTCATTTAAGCACAGATTTCCTGCTCGTTTTGCTTCACACCAACCCAAAGGAATCTGGGGTCCCAGCATGCCAACGACTCTGCCCAACCCCGCTGAACTGCTGAGATGTCACCAGACTTGATCTACTTTGCGGCAGCAGAGCGCAGTATCAATGCACAGCCCAATGCCTCTGTGCTTAAAATCATGGGATCGTGCGTGGAGTTCTTCCCTAATCTGCTTTAAAACCAAGATGGTAAACCAAAATCGTATGGTTTTTGCCTTAAAACAGACAACATCTCTATGACGTGCTCATGTTCAATCTTTGTCAGAGATGGTTCAACCTGATAGGTGGTGCCATCGGAATCAACTGGCAATTGCTATGGATAGAGGACGAGTTTCAAAGCGAGCAAAACTTTTGGATATTGAACATATTGAGCGTCAGATCAAGGGATAATATGGATGTCAACTTGTCAACAACAATATGGAAACATCCCAATACAACATGATCAACATCTTTGTTCGTTGCTCATCGCTGCTTGTCATAGGATCTTGCTCACTAAATACGGTTTCGAGTCCAGGATGCTACACGAAAACACGAAAAAGCTGGACGAAAACATCCCTTGGACCATGAACAGTGTCCAGGTCTACATATACTCCTTCAAGACCATGAGGCTGGCGATAATGGACTGCCACCCTGGTTGATGGGAATCTTATCAAGATCAGGAAAGCAGTGATGGAAGGTACATGAAGGTACTGTATCTGGAGATAATGTACACTCGCATTGGTTTCTTGCTATTTCTTGCTTCTGGTGTGCCTTTTTTTTTGGTATGCACCAAATACATCCAAATATTATGACATACCATGACTCAGATGATGAAAAGCACCACAGCTCCGCAGAGTGTGGCTCAAAGGAAACTAGCCACAGCGATAAGATCCAGAGGCGACCAGCCACAGTGACGGCGACATATTCACATTTGTTTGCCGGATGACACCTGCCACAAGTTCACCGACCTAGATTTTTTTTAGCAGCTTCATGCAGCTTCCACATTTCTGCAACGAAAAAGCACATCAAGACCCTGGTACAAGTAATAGTGAGAGCCGATTTCGAGTGCCTGCGAAAAGGAGGTGTAGTCACAGACTCTGCACGGCGATCTGTTTGTGCTTAGCAGGTTCAAGCTATACTGGTTTGTCTAGCAGCGGGTTCTAAAACCAGCAACAGCATCAGAAGTTAATTGATGTCAGAACTGACACGTATTGTTGATATTGGTTGATTTAGAGTTGCATCAACAATATTAACAACCAATATCAACCAATAACATCAATATCAACATAGCTGGTTGACTGTTTGAAATTCTGAATGAAGGTTGCGATGACCACCCCAGCATATCAGCAATGATTATGCTGGACCATCCCGCAGTCCGATATCATTCCATTGCAGTGATTTCGGATAAAAAATCATGGACTCATGGACACGACATTGCGAAAAATTGCGAACCACAGAAAAAAAAAGTATTCAGACACTGGGTTTATGTCATGAAAAAAGCACTGCAACATTTTATGTCTTGCAATCCAGGACCGCTTGGTGTTTTTTTTTAACCATAGAAATGGATAGAACTGGGATGATGATCCCCAATGACGCGCGCATTTTCCAGAAACCCAGAGGAAGCGGTGGTCAGCAGGCTGGGCTGATAACGGGATGAGACAATCAGACAATCAGATAATCAAATGGAGGAGACTGCCCCACTTAAGATAAAAAACATCAACCTTAGCTTAGATATGCTTAGATCATCTTTGCAAGAGGATTAGGGTCAGCAAGCATCAAGATCCAGTGATGTGTTTGCTGGTGGAGTTTTCTGTGACACAGCACGTTCACTTTTTGCAGCCGCTCACCAGATACGAGTGTGGGCTACATTATTTCTGTATCTTCCAAAGAAATCCTTTGCAGAACCCTGAACAGTTGAACAGCCCAATTCCTGCATATGGGTTTGTCTGACATTGGGGTACCCCTCTCTGTAAGTTAATGGCTCTATTTTATCTGATTGGTGGTTTGGAACATTTTTTGTTTTTCCATATATTGGGAATAATCATCCCAACTGACTTTCATATTTTTCAGAGGGGTAGGTATACCACCAACCAGTTATTATATACTATTAATATAAATATCAATGTTAATCATCACGTTTCCTCCTTAAATGGCCATGATTCATGGCCATTTGCCTTGCTTCCTTTGAGCGGCGCAGGCAACGAGTCGATTTTTGGAGGCGCAGGCCGTCCAACGGCGTCGCTGGGGGGATGGCCATGAAGCCATTTTCATCGTTTTTTTTTCAGGATTCCTATCATGGAATTGATGACTATAGCCCCTATACATCCATATACATCCATGTTTATCCATGTTTTGACCATGGCACATATGAAGACAGCTGGAAGGTGTCTCTGGAAAATTCTTGGATATTCTTGGACATGATTGACCCAATTCTTTGGCCACATCTTGATGAAACTGCTGGCAAAATGCAACAAAATACTGCCTTCAAGCAGTCACCACCTTCATGTGCCTCCTACGAGAGGTGACAGGACAGCAAGAACATGGTCTCATCTATAAAGTAGCATATTGACAAGTCATTGCTCATTTAACTATTTTAATTGACAATGGAGGAAGTTGATGACATCAACTCATTGTGTCTTCTTTTGCTTTCAGCACCTGAAAGCCAATTAAGGCATTGAATTTATGCATGCTACTTTCAAGGATTTGCGCGTGAGAGGTGTATACAGCCCTTCAAAAAACAGAGACATAGAATATCATAGAATGATATGGATGAAAAACTATGATTGGATCACAGTTTTTCATCCATATCACTGTATCTGTATCCCTGATGAACAACTGTGGATTCACCATCCGCCTCAACTGCGATGGAAGAAACGGCAGCTTAGGCCAGTCTGGCTCTATCCCCAGCCACTTCAACAACATGTTTAGTATGGGGTTTCATGATGGTTAATGGTGGTTGATGATGGTTAATGATGGTTAAGAATCACTGATTGGTGGTTTCAAACATTTGAATTATGTTCCATTTCATATATGGGATGTCATCCTTCCCATTGACGAACTCCATAATTTTTCAAGATGGGCACATTGCACCACCAACCAGTGTAAGTTCAGATTCATCAGATTCACATTGTCCAGAGAGTTCCTTTTTTGTTTGCGACATCCAATTTTCTGCGAGCGGCTCAGCAACAGCTTTTGTTGTCGCCATGTGTTGGTCAGGAGATTGCTGGAGATGCACTTGAGGCTGAGGCCCCGAATCCTGGGTTCTTTTCCGCATGCACTACAGTACAATGTGGGAAACCCAATGCCAATATCCGCCATAACCAACTTGGGGATGGTTGGAATTCCATGGAATACCCATAAACATGCTGATCTTGGGGATGGTTGGAATGGCATTGGGTTTACCACATCATTAGTATAATATGTTTGTGTGTTGATGTGCATACAAGTTTTGCCACATTGCACACGTATTTTGACTGTATTTGTGTACCAAAATAGATAAACAATGATAAACATGTTTTTTGAGTGCGATGCTGGCGTGCTGTTTAGAAAAGTTTGACCTGATGGAATCAGTTTTGAAAGGTAGACAAGGTTTTGTGACCGTTCTTAGTTGACTTCCTATGCTCTTTGCTAAGGATGAAAACTGAGCAGTACCCGCCTGCGCTGTGTGTGCGAAGCGGCTGCCGGAGAAAAAGCTTTGGAGTGGCAGCAGGGTTGCCTTGGGCTTGTGGCTGGGTCTTCCAGCTCCCTCAAGATTCGGAAACCAAGGTTTGGGGAAATTAAGGGGATGCCTGTTCTTGGAAAAAAAACTCAGATTCAATTTACACGAAAGAAAACAGGTGAGGGTGTATAAAGCAAGACATGTTGTTCCAATTGAATTGACAGGAATGATACCGGACATATTTTTTTGATCCTATTCCAACATGCTGGATGACATGCTTCTGAGACACTGGTCATTTTGCCATGATCCTGATGGACGTTGGTGCTTTGGGTGTGGCACTTCCCAGCACACTAAGACACCCCAACCATCAGCTGGTGCAGGTTGTATCGAATTTTGAGAAGAGGCACTAGCAGGGGATATGCCTCAGTGGCCTTTTCTCCTCACAACAAGGCGGATGTGGTGGACGCGGCTTCAATGTTGTCATGGCGAATTTCATTCTGGGATGACTTCAGGATATTTCTAGTTCTGGGTGTGTCAGATGGCTTTTGCGATAGATATAAATCCTGTTATCTTGCTACAGACCATGATAGACCATGATAGATAGGAAAAATCACCTAGACCTGCTTCTGCACTGTCCACGGTGCACAAGTGCTGCTCAAAATCACCAGGTTTTGATGATGAGATGAATCCAAGCAAGTCTTTGATGTGTACATATATCCCCAAATCATCCATCTTCATAGGATTTTCATAGGATTTTCCATTGTAAACCATCCAGCTATTGGGGCATCTCCACTTAGGAACCCCCCATGCCAGCCTGACCCAACTGACGGGGCGACCGCGCCAGAATCACTTAGCGGCGCTCGGCCTGGTTCCCAGTAGAACAACGTGACTCGAAGATGTGCGGTACATGGTTGGTCGATGTTGGTTGGTTACCCTCTGGTAAACTAACATAACTATGGAAAATCACCATTTTTAATGGGAAAATCCACTATAAATCACCATTTTCAATAGCAAACTGTGAGTTTACCAGAGGGTATACCCAACGATTCCCGTTGGGAATCTGGACACATCTGGATACACAAACTCTGGACATCAGATGCGTTCCATTGGATCTCGAGGTTGTGCTCCAGACTACCTGTTGTCGGTATGGGATTGGCGCAACGAACGGCTCTTGCTGAAGTGCAAAGCCTATGGCCAGGACTGAAGATGGTCTCGCAACATGGCCCATGTTTATTCATTTTATCCATAGTGGGGGATGGTGATCAATCCATTTCTATAGATTTATCATGGCCAATAAACGGATTCCCGTATATGTCATGTTTTTGACCATGGCAAGGATGGGTTTGTCTCAAAATTAATCCAAATGACCTGCTAACATTGCCATGGGCCCAAGGGTAAATGCAGAATTCTGAGCAAACCCACATGATCATGATCGATATCAATGACGATGATGGCGATGACGGCGATGACGGCGATGATGATGATGACGACGACGAGGATGACGATGACGATGACGATGACGATGACGATGACGATGATGATGATGATGATGATGATGATGATGATGATGATGATGATGATGAATGTTGTTGATGATGATGAATGTTGTTGTTGATGATGATTGTTGTTGTTGTTGTTGTTGTTGTTGTTGTTGTGTTTGTTGTTGTTGTTGTTGTTGTTGTCGTCGTCGATGATGATGTTGTTGGTGATGTTGTTGTTGATGTTGTTGTTGTTGTTGTTGTTGTTGTTGATAATGATCATGATTATGCTGACTCTGATTACTGTTGATGATGATCATGATTTTGCATGATTTTGCTGATTGTGATGATTATAATATACTATAATAAACATGAACAATATGAATATAGTAATGAATATGGTTGTGATGAACACGATGTTCACGTTGATGTCGCATCATTTGTCATAACACATCAGTATCACCATGTTTCACATTTCTAACCGTGGATTTCTGTTCAGTAGCTTGACAACTGACCGTCCATGGCCGTGACATGGATTTCGGAATGTGACAAACAAGTGGCGTTTTTTTAAGCCATGGCGAGCTGATATCCCGGTGCCACAAATTTGGCCTGGGCTGAGGAGATTTACAGCATTCGCTGGGGTCAATTCCCTGGGATTCTGACATCAGTTGGTGTTGGCCATATCAGGCGAGCTGCCAGTTGCTGGGGACCTGGTCATTTTTAACACTTTGCGAACTGGAAAATCAGCATTTATAGTAGGGTAAATCTACCATAAATTTTAAATTGCCAGAGGGTAAATGTCATTTGTGTCCCACTATAATGAACCTATGGATCGAATGAAGATTTGACGATTCACCCAACGGACTGGGTTGGCAATCCCGTCCTGTGCAATCAGAAATGCTTACCTTCCTGAGGACGAATCACTTCACAATAATTCAACTCATGTTTCTTTGCACATCTATTTCAGCACATTTAACTCATCCGCAAATGAAGGCAATGTACTTGAGAAGAACAATGACTTTGACCAGCTTTACCTGTCCAACCCTCCGACTTGTCCTTTTTTGCCCTAAGGGAATATTTTTCGCACAGCAAATTTGAATCTCAAAACCAAGGTGTTCTGTACATCTTCCTTTTCTCAACAGAACTAATCCATTTTGAATCATTTTTAAAAATATAATTCTTGCTATATTTGGATATATTGTCCCCACTTATTGGCATCTTATTGCTGATTGGTGGTTTGGAACATTTGGATTATTTTTCCATCTATTGGGAATGTCATCATCCCAACTGACGAACTCCATCATTTTTCAGAGGGGTAGGTATACCACCAACCAGTATATATATACATATATATATGTATGTATTAACCACCATTAACCACCATTAACCACCATTAACCACCATTAACCACCATTAACCACCATTAACCAACCAGTATTGGTATATCTTCCATTTATGGTTGGTATGGCGCCATGCGGAGGTTTTGGAAGATGGCCACCACCTTCACGGGGTTGAAACTCCAGGGGGACCTGGGAAAGGCGGGCGCCATGCGGGCGCCGAGGTCCCATGAGTTAACCAAAGATGGGGAGAGTGGGGATATATTGGGGATATGATGGTATATTACTATTAGTAAGTATATGATTAGGAAGTATATTATTAGCAAGTATATGATTAGTAAGTATATGATTAGCAAGTATATGATTGGTAAGTATATGATTAGCAAGTATATAATGGGATATGATTAGTAAGATATTACTATTAGTAAGTATATTACTATTATTGGGGATATGATGGGATATGATTAGTAAGTATACTATACCCATAAAATATACCACCCTCTGGTGAATTAACAGTTTGCGAACTGGAACATCACCATTTTTCATGGGTAAATCAACGATTTCTGTGGCCATGGCTTCAAGTTCGCAAACTGTTAGTCATTACCAAAGGGTAGCCAAACTTGGGGATGGATAGTGGGAATAGATTGGGGATATGATGGGAGATATACTATAGAATACAACAATATGATCTTTGGGTCTGTCTGAATATAGGGGATTCACCCGGCCCCATAGAACGGCCATGCCATATAGGAAAAACAATGATAAACCGCAGAATTTTGGGGTACACTATTTTCAGGCAAACCCATATGGCGTAGTTCAGGGGTTCAGGCAGTAAATGATGCAACACATATTTATCTACTGTAAGTGGCAGCAGATAAATGGAATTGTTGAAATTTTTTATACCCATTTAGGCTTGTCCAGAAATGGGTTGTAGAAGTTATACATACCATGAGATACCCCAATTCATGGCAATTTCATTTGGACAATGATGTTCTAAACCACGGGAGTTTGAGGACCCCGTGTTCAGACAAACCCATCAACACATTCCAATGTGTTATAAACATATTTCTCTCATAATATGCATGATATATTGGCCAAAATTTTCCTGCCAAACTAGTGCTATTTGCGAAATTGGTACATGCTGCAAATACATCTCAGTAAATATACCAATACAAAACAAAGCATTTGGGCACGCAAGGATGACATCAACCAGAATCTGATAATTTCCAACGTTTCGACATGTTTCGACCATTGAGACGATAGTGAATCCAAAACAACGTCAGAAGCCTCGCCCAGTTTGGCGCGAGCGAACTTTCGGACATCTCCGGTTTCGTGGAGTTGCCCGATGGCAAGGCATGGGTCGCACCACAGGGGTTCAACATGGTTCAACCCGCGGTTGGGGACACCGTTGATCCAAACGATTTATGGCATGAAATTGGATCAAGCATTGTGACCTGGAGTGAAAGCAATCTTCAGACAGAAGCAAGCAACTTCGTGGCATTTGATTGGTGATTCAAGCAACAGTAGGTCTCAGTAGGTTTTATATCTCAATGGTCTGATGGGTCCCTCACGTTGACCAAACGTGCCCAAACTGCTGGCCAGGTTGTCACTGGTTCAGAGTGCGCCGACGCCGCAGAGATAACTTAAAGCAGAGTTAATGATGTCAGTGTCCAGCTGGGACCATCATGAACCATCTGAATGGGGGCATGAATTTCACTTCCCAGCTATTTTGGTGTTCACCAGTGTATGAAGATGTATGAAGGTATTGACCTGGAGTCGTGGGCTGGGAGTGTTCATTGCTGAAGAGCTGCCAGTTTCCAAATAGTTGGTTGAGGATGAGGATGAGGATGAGGTTGAGGATGGGGATGAGGATGAGGATGAGGATGAGGTTGAGGATGGGGATGAGGATGAGGATGAGGTTGAGGATGGGGATGAGGATGAGGATGAGGTTGAGGATGGGGATGAGGATGAGGATGAGGCTGAGGATGATGAATATGATGAAGAAGAAGACTATGATGAAGATGAAGATGATGATGATGATGATGATGAAGATGATGTTTGCTGTTATTTCATGTATCTTAATTCTATTATTATTATTATTACTATTTGATACTATTTTTATTATTCTCATGTTTCAATTAATATTATTGTTCTATGACATGAAGATCTTTTCAGCCATATCGGATTTGGTTCCATCCAATCGAACAGGATGCTGTTTTTTTTCAACCCTGGTGGAATGGGACGGGACAGTAGGGGAGATGTATGGTGTACTAAGAGACTTAGAAGAATACCAGCTGAGGCATGGCAGTGAAGTCGAGGGGTTGTTTGAATATTTTTGGTGCAAACAAGGTGTTTCCCATTATATATTACTACATGTTTTTTTTTTGGTTGTACCTTTAGAGAAATACGAGAAATGCGCAGAAAGCTGCAGAAACACGGTCAGCCCTCCAGGTATGGCAAGCTTCTCCTCTGGGAGGGTGTTTTCGTGAAGGTGCCCTTGGACGTTGGAGCTGGTTGGATGGTGCCGGAGGAAGAACAGTGGGATGATGGCGCAATGAATCCACTTGCTAAATCATATGGTTTGGCCATGATCTTTTTTGGTGATGAATCTTGATGGCTAGGCTAGAACTAGTTGAAGTCTTGAAGTCCATAATTTGATATACTCTACCATCTGGTTATTTAACATAGCCATGGAAAATGACCCATTTATAGATGGCTTACCTATTAAAAATGGTGATTTTCCATGGCTATGTTAAATAACCAGATGGTATATTTTGTGCTTAAATGATCTTAAATCCCCACTTTCCGGCTTCACATCCCCAGTGTTTCCAGTGATAATCACTGCTTCACAGCGCAGGTGGAGCTGATGCGTGCCAAAGACAACGTGACCCAAGCAGACGCAGGGACCAGCATCGCGGGATGTGCCTTGGACAATAGCGGTCGACCAGGTTGGCCAGGTGGGGTCAAGGCGTGTCTTTTTTTGGATAGCGAAACACTGCGACACATGGGAAGATTTATGGGGATTTAGAGGATTTATGGGGATATAATGGGATATAATGGCATACTGTCTGTATATCCAACGTTGAATGGCTTTCTGGATGATTTTCACCGCTCTCACACTCCGACCTCACTGGAGGCTTAGTTCTGATTTGAGAATTATATGTATCTATGTATACTTAATTATATATAATATATAGACTATTATAGACTTAGATTCAGATAAAAAAACATTGCCCAGAATACCAATTGTATACCCATATATTCCCACAAGAAATCCCCATATCCCCAGGTGTCGAGGTTTCCCAGTCGTTTCCATGTCAACCAATGATTCAGGTCCGCATGCGGGAAACATCGATGTGATCTTAATGGATCGTGAGAATGGCATGGTGATTTCTGGCGGCGATGATGGCGGGGGACACGTTTCCGGGGACCACGGGGTTTCCCGGGGCGGAAAGTGACGGGTCGATGATGGGTTAATGAAAAAAAATGTTGCAGAGTGCTTTTCATATTTTTTCTGTAAAGTGCAAGGCACCCAATTGATGAGTTAAACCATCAGATTTAGAAAAGCGAGTTTGTATTTCCAGGTAATTTCTTCTCGAACCGTAATGAAGTACGTTTGGTAGTTTGATATGGATCAATAATCAGGGCCCTAGGAACACTGATTCAATGACTGATGTTGGGGTCATTTTTTAGTAATTACTTCGCAAATCACGTTGGGCATTGCAAAGTATTAACCATAGACTATGTGATTTGACTCAATTTATCGTATCCTATCATATACTCATGTTTTAAGTCAGGTACATCCAGAAACATCCATGAACAACATACCCTGTGGTAAGCTAGCATGGTTCTGGCTCCGAAGTTGGCAGTTGATCGAGTCCATTATAAGTATCAGCTGTCCCATGGTATGCCCCAGGCCATTTGCGGTGGTGGCCGATTGAAGAGATTGATACTGCAGAGGCCGATTATGACAATGGCATCTTAGAGCACCTTGGCTGAGACGGGGGGCCAACCTCCGGGTGATGCGGGTATTTTCCGGAATTTCCTGATCAAAGAAAGTGGGTTTGATGCCACTTCTACTGAAAGAGAACTGCAATGAGGACCATCTGATTGAAGTCGAAGTCATCTGCCATCATTTTACAATCTGCCAAGTTCCTCTATAAAATCAAGTAAGTCGGATACCCCAAATGGGTTATTGGGGATCATCATAGCCCATACTGTAGTAGGGAAACCTATCAACCAACAACCGTATGATTAGTATGAGATGTTCACCTCAACAGTGCTGCAAGTGCCACAGGTTCGGTATCCGCATGCGGAAGGAGATTCGGATCCCTCCGCTGGGGCGCCCCAGTACTGAGGTGATGGGTTGGCATCCTGTTGTTCTTTAAAATAAACATGGTCACAACATGTCACAACTTAGAATTAAGGATGGATAAGTATGTATTATGTAGAAGCCTTTAGGTGATTTATGAAATTGAGCAGGTCAATTACAAATTGAGGCAATTGATAACTGGCTAAGTTAGAATGATCGAAGCCGGAGTCACTGGAAGGATGCTCCAGCCCATTGGAAACCTTCCATTCGAACAGGAAATGATCATGAATTCTCCATGTTTCTGAACATCGATGGTGCGCCAAAACCATTTACCCTCTGGTTATTTAACATAGCCATGGGAAACGACCCATTTATAGATGGTTTACCTATTAATAGCATGGTGATTTTCCATGGCTATGTTGGTCATAACCAGATGATAAGTTTCCCTCTTAAAACATCGTCCCAATGACCAATGATTCAGATGATCTCAGATAATCTCAGAGGGTCCATCTGAGGAGCGGTGAGCACAATGTTCATCCTGCCCACATTCAACATGTGGTGGTTGGTCCCGAGCTCACTTTGGATTGTTGCACCCAGCTTCAGCTTGGCACAGCGAAAAAAACATACCCTGAAACAGGATTTTACTGTAGCTTTAAGATTTTGAATATTGAAATCACAAGCCTCTTTCATTTAGGACTTAAAGATACTTGAACTTTAACTGGTTGGTGGTTTGGAACATGGCTTTTATTGTTCCATTCAGTTGGGAATGTCATCATCCCAACTGACGAACTCCATCATTTTTCAGAGGGCTAGGCTCAACCACCAACCAGCTATTCTGAAATCTTCACTTTGGGTTCACTTTGTATATATTATACATATATATATGTATGTGTGTATTAACCACCATTAACCACCATTAACCACCATTAACCACCATTAACCACCATTAACCACCATTAGCCACCATTAGCCACCATTAGCCACCATTAACCACCATTAACCACCATTAACCACCATTAACCACCATTAACCACCATTAACCACCATTAACCACCATTAACCACCATTAACCACCATTAACCACCATTAACCACCATTAACCACCATTAACCATCATTAATCACTATTAATCACTATTAACCATCATTAATCACTATTAACCATCATTAATCACTATTAACCATCATTAATCACTATTAACCATCATTAATCACTATTAACCATCATTAATCACTATTAACCATCATTAATCACTATTAACCATCATTGATCACTATTAACCATCATTAATCATTATTAACCATCATTAATCACTATTAACCATCATTAATCACTATTAACCATCATTAATCACTATTAACCATCATTAATCACTATTAACCATCATTAATCACTATTAACCATCATTGATCACTATTAACCATCATTAATCACTATTAACCACCATTAATCACTATCAACCATCATTAATCACTATTAACCATCATTAATCACTATTAACCATCATTAATCACTATTAACCATCATTAATCACTATTAACCATCATTAATCACCATCAACCAACCATTAACCAATCATTAACCACCATTAACCATTGACATCAATTGAAATCTCCCAGCATCGACACAAGAAACGTGGTCTCGACCAACGACCATTTTGCGTTGAGGCCACGATGAGGCGACCTGGCTGATTCAGGACAGGTGGACAGGTCATCCAGGGTGCAGTTTTGTCTCTGGTCATATGCCATATGAACTGGTCATTTTTAAGGGAAAATCATAGGAAAACCAGGGGAAAATCATAGGAAAACCAGGGGAAAATGGATGAACATGCTGGTTTTAGCATGTTTTAAGCCTCTGGTAAACGTTTACAATACGTTTACATAACTATGGAAAGATCATGAAAGATCCACCATTGAAACAATGGCTAAAATGGCTAAACCACCACTATTTCTATGGTCATTTTCAGTGGCAAACTGTTAAATTACCAGAGTGTAAGGGAAAATGGCGGGTTTTTTGGATCAATGTCATTCGCTTCTCATCTGCTTTCGGACTGCTTTCCTTTTCCATCTTGGAAGCTGACTATCAATTGACCAGAAGTTTTTCCAGGCTTGGAACTACACACCATCCAACGATTGGTTCTTTTCCAATGATTCCTTTCCAATCCTTTCCAAATATCCATCGGTTTTAAATGTTTTTCATGATTTCATGTTATTTCATGTTGATTCATGTTATGTCTGGATATTTATGGCTGGTTTATTCACAGATATTCACAGTTTTTTGGGTTTAAAACCAGATCAGATTTGTTCACTGACGAGTTTCAGCAGCGCCCGGAGGACTCTAGAAACGGGATGATCTGGATCTTCGACATGCCATCCGGAACTTGCACCTCCGCCCTCAGCTGCCACAGTCAGCAGGTGCGTTGCCACGGATGGCAGGGTGCAGGGGCTGGGGCAGGGGCTGGCAGGGGCTGCGGCAACCAGCCCTATGGGGTTATACTATACCCAATATAATAGAATATAACGTAGATATTAATAGATCAATATAGGGGTTTTCATCATCGAGACTATATAAGGGTATAATATGGTATAATAGCTCATAATTGGCATTTCACTCACCGTTGGTTTTCAGCACGGGTGATTGACCTTGAATTTTTCAAACGGGGGAGCGGCGAAACTGCTTTGATTCACCATCTACACATGGATGCACCTCCGAACCCCTACCATTGACAGATATATGTATATATATATATATTATATATATATATCCATTTAATTTGATCCATTTATGAACATCAATTGAACATGATAAATCATATTTCCATTATGTTTACATCGGTATATTCACATTATATATGTTATTTGCATCATCAAATATACCAGATAAATCTGATGAAATTACTTTTTGGTTTTGATGTAAATATGAGGTAAGTATACCAGAAACAATACAAAAGAAACGTGGTGAACAGATGCCACCAGGTCACTGGCACAGTGATCTCCTCCTCCTATGCTGGGCTGGTGATGTCATGTGGCCACTTGACCAACGAATGTGGAAATACCATGGGTATATTCGCGGGAATATATTTTGTGGGATAATTGGGAGGATTGTCTATTTGAAATAGGCAAACTTTATTTGAAATAGGCAAACTTTATATACATATATATATATATACATATATATATATACATTATACACAGTATATATATAATATATTATATGCGTTATATCTTGATTTGATATTCTTCATCCGGGGAAACCTGGAGGACTACCATCCCCCAAAAATAAAATAGACCCCAACTAGTCACTCGATTTGGCACAGTCCACGTGATTTGAGTAGATGGTAGGATATCGTTTGATATCGTCAAAAGAAATAGATAACACTGATAACACAGCAAAACATGCAGGCTGCTGTATCAGGGTATCTAAGATTGGCTATGAGATAGAAAGCCATTGGTTATTGAATAGGTTTGATCAAAACATACAGTTCGTTGGGTGGTTGTTGTTTTCCAAAGTGAGATACAGAGCATGTGGATTTGCCAGATTTTGCGACTTGAACATGACTTCTTAGTTGCTGAAACTATTTGGAGGTTTCCTAAAATGGTGGTACCTGGTACCTCCAAATAATCCACTTAAATAGGAGTTTCCATCCACCCTCTGGTGAACTAACATAGCAATGGAAAATCACCATTCTTAATGGGAAAACTCACTATAAATAGCCATTTTCCATTGCTATGTTAGTTCACCAGAGCAACTATTTTGGGGCACCCCCCCATTTTAGGAAATCCCCATTTAGGATGAGTTGCTGTCGCTGAGGCATGGATGGGACGGTGCGGGCCTTCAATGTGTCGCAGCCCTGGGACAATGAATTGCCTGGGATCCAAGTCTGGGGCAATATTCACATCACGAATCATCACTACATATCACATATAATATATTTATATAATTACTACTATATATATATATACATATACACTATATGTATACTATATATATATATATAGATATACTACACACACATACATATATACTATACATACTCCATATATATATATATGTAGATACATACATATAGACACATATCACCACTCTTTGGAATGTTTTGGATCACGGTTTTGGCTGGTAAGAAGCCAACGAGTTTAGAACCCAGTGAATTTTGTACCCAGTCTCGGCCTGAACAAATCATGGACCACAGGAAATAGTGAAGGGATGGACCATATGCTTTGAACTTCGAACTGGTTATTGGAAGTAGTTTAGGTATCTTGGGTTTTGATATAAACAATTGCCGTGTCATGTATGTCCATGTTTCAAAAAGTGGAACTGTACTCTTACTCCCTACACTACTTTCGTTCATGGCATGAAACCAAGTTTGCTTCAAAGGATGCATACCAGACTTGCCAGTAACCCTGATTGTGCACCAACGTGCACACTATGACTATACATACTATAATGACTATACAGATAGAATATCATTGATACTCGTTGCCTGTAGCCGCACCCATGGCATTGTGGAGCAGGCATACTGTTTCACAGTGCTTGTAGTACACGTACCCACCACCATTTGTTCACTTGAAAATGTTTTGCTTTGGCGGAAGGACATCACCAAGGCTGTATCAAAGCCTAAAAGAGAGCAGTCATGATGACCATCAAACATTAAAAAATATGGCTGTGTACCCCAATTCATGGCAATTTCAATAGGGAACATTATTTTCTAAACCATCAAATGGCTGGGGTTTCCCAACATGTTCAGATAAACCGATATTGGTTTCTGGCCAAAGTCTCTTTCTTGCTGGTTAACTTTGAATTTTGTTGGCTGACATCCTATTTCTTGGCAACCCCATATTGGATTATGTACATATCAATAGAGGCTCTTTGTGGGGGGTAAATGACCGTCAATGTCCCGAAAGGCCTCCTGCATATCCATGACTTTGATTGATTTTATATGAGTCTAGTAGATATTTCCATGAAATGGTGGCTTTAAATGTTAAATCATTTTAAATCCTTTTTGGGTATATTTCGGATGATTTTGGTGTTCACCAGGCTACATAGAGATGGGTTTTCACAGGAAAACCAACTGCAAAGACCACAACTTTTGCGCCGTGAAACGGCGCCCAGGTACCGTGACTTCCGGCCCCTGGAGAACACTGTGGGCGCCACCTGCATGGACGCCACTCCAGAGTTGGTTTGGAGACCGAAAAACCGAAAGTCAGGAAAAATGGTGGAAATCGGGAAAATCTGAGGAAACAAAACAACATTACCCTCTGGTTATGACTAATAGTTTGCAATGGGAAATAGATGGCCCTAATCGAAATAGATGGTTTACCTATTAATAGCATGCTGATTTTCCATGGCTATGTTAAATAACCAGATGGTAATATATATGATTATATATACAATTATATATACATATGAACATTATATATATATACATATGAACATTATATATATATATACATATGAACATTATATATATAAAGAAATGGGACCGTAGAACATGGGAGGATGGAGATTGGGTGCTGTATGTTGGTACCGCTCAAAAAGGACCTTTTTGGTCCTTTTGGAATAGTTTCATGTTCAAAACCCAATCGATTTGCTACTGGAATAGTTGTCACATGTTGTCATTATACGAAGACTGTCGTCAAGCAGTCTGAAGAAATTTGCAGTCTTAACAAGTTGACGATGGCGATATAAGCAGTGCACGCTAAATCCGTATCATTGCTGGCGAACCATTCCCAAGTTTGTGAGCCACATACCTGCATTGTCCATCATTTATTTTGATAGTTGAGTCCTTTGCATCAACTTTCTAGAGACAAGATGCACAACACATCATGATCGCATCATGATATACACCCTCTGCTTCAAAATCTGCGAAGCATTGCGCTGCTATTCCCAGGATTGTTGTTTCAAAGACCATTTGTTTCCATTTGTTTGGTGTGTCAAATTTAGACAACTACCTATGAGGGCAGGCCATGCTTCATCTCCTTTTATTTCTTGTTTCCAGGTCGACCCATCCAAACGCACTGTGTGTGCGGGATATACAGTCTGGGTAGCCCAGGGGGTTTCGTTGGGGGTTAGCAGGATCGGGTCCGGCCGAGTCATTTCTTGGGGGTTCTCAGAATGGGGGATCCCAAGATCATCTACCCTCTGGTTATGATTAACATAGCCATGGGAAATAGATGGCCCATAGAAATAGATGTTTTACCTATTAATAGCATGGTGATTTTCCATGGCTATGTTAGTCATAACCAGAGGGTAAATCCAAGTTCTTGGTCATCTTTAATTTAAACTTGGGAGCGCACATGCACCTGAATTGTTGATGTTGCAGTCACTTGCAGTCCATGAGTTTCATACAATTTCACTTGATGTGTCCATTGGATAATCCCACTATAATATCATTTGATAATCATTGATAATCCATGTATATATATATATACACGTATAGTATGTTTGTATTGCAATCCCATCATCCATTTACAATCCCTTCATAACACGTTATAACAATATGAGAATATTTAATATATATTATATACTATATATTATATATTATATATTATATATATTATGTAATATGATAAAATATAATATAATATATCATAATATATATAATATGTAATATATATATATATATATATATGTATGAATTATAACATATATGTTATCACGATGGCATTATCCATTGATCATCCCCAGGATGGGACGATTCGAGCCTTTACGGCCTGTTCTGACGGCTTTCTGCAGCTTCAGGCGGGGTGTCTCGCTGGGGGGCAAGCCCTCCCTAGGGTGGGTTTATGATGTTTATGGCACTGGGGAAAGGCCAAGAATTCTACACACATGATGTACCCTCTGGTAATTTAACGTAGCTATTGAAAATGACCATTAATAGTGGATTTTCTCATTAAAAATGGTGATTTTCAATAGCTACGTTAAATTACCAGAGGGTACAGTAGATGATTTTTTTATTTTTTTTCTCGATGATTTTCCCATTACCCTCTGGTAAATTAACAGTTCGACCCTGAAAATAGCCAACAGTTTTAATGGTTTCACTAATCTTCCAACCCCTACTGTATTTGCCAGGGTCGAACTGTTAATTTACCAGAGGGTAACAGCTCCATATTTACAGGATTTTGGCTTGGGGATGTCCAATTGCTATGTTCGAAACAGCCAGAGGTTAAATCAAAAACAGCACCATTTGGAACCATAACTGGGATGGCTGGAGTCACTGTAGTCCCAGAAAAACATCTGGTGAGGCTGGCTGGCTTGACATTCTATTCTTTGATCTGAGGTACTCTTCAAAAACGCATTGCACACAATTTTCGGGATGCTTTCATATATACGGTATACATATATGTTTCGATATGCCTTTTGAATGACACACCGATAACTATCCAAGTTCCAGTTTCTGGTATTTCGTCATCCCTCTGTTTGGGTAAGTCGTGAATGTGTGTCCTTGCACTCACATTACAACCCCCTCATGGAGAAGCCATGTAGGCTCTGAAGCCGCACAATTGCATGGTGAAGCAGCTGAAGTGACCGGACAACTGGGGACTGGGAGTGTAGGATAAGGATGAGCAGCGGGTTGGCTGATTAAAGATTGGTGGCAATAGGAATGGCCCTATTTTGAGAGAAAACACTCATATCTTCACCGAATTCCATTTGGTTTTCAAGCAGTGACTGACCTTTCCACCCCGCTAAGGATTCGTTGAGAAGGCAACATTCAGATTCGACACTTGCATATCTGGGTAGTAGTTTCCAAGTATGTTTGAACTGGCAAGCAAACATGCAACAGAGTTTTCCGCATGTGCAGATGATGAAAAGGACATGAACTGAATGAACTGATGTGTTCCTTTTGAATTGCTATGGTAGATTGCCAGAAGGTAGTTTACCCAGCATAGGAATAGATAGTCACCATTTGCCATCACCAAGGTTTCTATTATGATTAGCTTATCTTCATTTAGCAACAACATGGGAATTTTGTGGTTTAAGTTATAATAGCCCAGATAACACATCAGGATCAAGAAAGAATGACTACAGTAACATTCAAGTTTACAAAACAACCAGTGAGCTAAGGAGCTACTAGGAGTTTCCCAGCCACATAGTAGATAGATGGTGGCAATGGAAATTTCATGGGAATATCGTGGGAATCTAATGTGAATATTGAGGGAATACATACTGTATATAGTATTATATATATATGCAAACGAACCACAAGGCAGTAAGCGCCCGCAACTTTTCCTGAAAAGGATCTAAGGGTGCTTGAGTCCAGATGACCATGTTAATGAGTTGAATGTGACCTCAATGACAATTGCACGGGTCCCAAAATTTCAATGATTCTTACCCCTCTGAGTCCAGCACCTGTTTGCAAGATGTGTGTGGTTGTGCGTCCAGCGCGGAGAGACCAAGGGCTTTTCTTTTCTTTCCCGATAAAACTTCTTGATCAAAAACGATGCGCCATCTTCCATTTCTAGCCATGAACAAAAACAATTGATGAGGTTCGGTGTCTTTGGTAAGGGAATTGCTCAGCTGAGAATCGCCATTGACCCATCGAATTTTCACGTCAGAATACAAAATTGCTTCTTTCAGACACAAGGATTCAATGTCGGACCTTTTTTCCGCGCCTTGCAGTGTCATGATGGTTTGAGAAAGACGATCAAATAAATTTTTGCTATCTGAAATCAAAACGCCCGGTGTTTGTTTGACTGTTTCATCCGGGTCCCAAATATTTGCAAAGTGACCTGCAAATTCACTCATTTGAAAACGCACTAAAAACATGAAATCCTCTCCATCTACAGCTGCTCTTGTCTCCGCAGATGCGCTTGATCTGCAAACTCGACTGATTTTTGAAGAGTTCCAAAAAAATTGGATTGACAGCTTCCAGTGACCCTGATAGCAGCCTTTGAGAGGTACATCCAATTAGGATCCCTTTCGTGCTGCCTAAATCATGTCTATTTGCATGAGCAGCATCGACCCAACCGGCAATCATTAGGTCTTGGGGATCAAGGGAATGAATTAACATTGTTTGATTCTTTCGGGCCTTTGCCCTCCTGAGCAGTTTATTTACTTCTATCATATCTTCAACTGTAGATTTGTTCACTCTTGACAGAAGCAGGTTCACGGGTGCACATAGGTCCATTGCAATTTGACCGGCGTGCCATGACAAACATCCCAGTACACTTCGAATTTGTCTTTGTTCTTCTTGTGTAGTAGGCAGCTCCTTTTGTAGGAAACGCGCTTTTGGGATGTAAATCTCCTCCACTTGATCTAAAAACTCAGGTTGCTTTAGGACAAAGCTGTAATCTTCTCGCTGTTCTATTTCAGTTCCACATTGACAGAAGCTTCCTTTTCCCATTCGCCCCAGCGAAATCTCGTTCTGATGGTTTCTTTGGCATGTTGCCAGTGGGGATCATTTTCATTTCCTCCAAAAAGAAAATCGTCAACATGTCCACAAATCCAACCTATTGGCTGGTGTTTCTCATCAAAATATCCCCAAGCACAAGGATCGCATTTGAGTCTCTGAAATCCGATGGATGTCAGAAATTCATCCACTGTGAGGTACCATTCCAATGGTGCTTCAACTAGGCCATATGCCGCTCGTGTGAGCTTTGTCACACTTCCTGGTGGTAGTTTCAGTTCACGGCAGATCTCCTCCAGTGGCTCAACAAAGAGATCTTTGCTGTATGTTCTTCCTTGCAGAAAGGCTCCAGAAACATCACCCTTTTCCACTAAAAACTTGTAAGCCGCACAGTAAGTCAGAAAGATTTGTCTCGTTGTTCTTGTCATAGTTGGGCTTGATGTTGGTCGGTATTCATACAGAGGATCTTGAAATCCCAGGATTACAGCCCGGGCTTTCGCTTTCTTCTCAGATGTCTCTTTTGAAAACTTCCATGTAAGAATCCATCGCATTTTCATTACTTGATTCTTGTCAGGGAGCTTGTCTGGTGGAAGTTGCTTGAAGACCTCTGCCATGATGTAGTTTTTCACTTCTTTCTGTTTTGCGGCTTCAAACTGCTTTTTCTCTTCTTCCGTAAGTCTCTTCTCGGAAACTTCTATATGATTCTTTTTCACTTGTCCTACTATGTAGCACTCCAGATCTCTAAGCCAGTGCTTCTTTTTCAGTGCTTTGCCTGAAGGGAGATCAATCTCCACTGAAAGGACACTTTCCTCAGTGGTCAACAGTGTTGAAGGAGTTTCTGAAGCTAAGGCGATCAGGCCTTGTTCTCCCATTTCTTCAGGATCCAGTTG